TTTAAGGTGGCGGACAGGGAAGATTTTCGACGATTTCAGCAGAGCACATGTAACACATTCTTGCCAAAAAGAACCCAAGCTCCTTCTGTATCCTTCTATGATGAATAGGGAAGCTTAGATCAAGGAGACATAAAGTTCTTACTTTTATTAAAAGAATGTGCTTGAAAAAAGTCTCTTATAGTGAGGGGAGTTATGTAGAATGTAAAAAACACAAGTGAAAGAGGTCTGAAACTTGTACTCTCTGACCACAAGGTCCGTTAGTAGTCTGTTACAAAATTATTGTGTACTTTAATTTTGGATAAGGGGAGGGGGGGGGGGCTACTATTTTAGAGGCGCATGTGATATCAGTCTGTAACAACCTTCCATCTTTTCTTTAATTGTGGAACTTAGCTAACATCCAGTGATAATGTAATTTTCGAAATTAATATGACAGGATTTTGTAACATCATTTTTTTTTACATAATTTCTGTTTAACATATTTATTTTAGTTTATGTCACAGAAAAAATATTTTTCTCTCCAATGACCAGGCTTCAAGATGAACCCAGGGGTCGTTGTTGGATTTCTATGTATTGTACACACAGGCCTACCCAACTACCAGACTCGGCACATAAGGATCCTGAATTAACCGGTATATCGGACCACACTACCTGTTTTCAAGGTGTGTGTCAGATCGCATTTTGGAGTATCAGTCCGAACACCGACAGGATGAGCCCGCGGTCGTCCTACAAAAATTGTTCTGGGGTATGATACTCCGAAATGCGATCTGACACACACCTTGAAAAAGGGTAGTGTGGTCCGAAAGACAGGTTAACTCAGAATCCTTATGTGCCGAGTCTGGTAGTTGGGTAGGCCTGACACAGTCTCAGTGGAATTCCTCCGACAAAGGCCTCTTCAGATAAACTGACGCTTAACCAGGTAAGCGACGGGTAGATCAAAAACCGCCCCGATCCTAAGTGTCCATAATGATTTTTAAAAANGTATATCGGACCACACTACCTGTTTTCAAGGTGTGTGTCAGATCGCATTTTGGAGTATCAGTCCGAACACCGACAGGATGAGCCCGCGGTCGTCCTACAAAAATTGTTCTGGGGTATGATACTCCGAAATGCGATCTGACACACACCTTGAAAAAGGGTAGTGTGGTCCGAAAGACAGGTTAACTCAGAATCCTTATGTGCCGAGTCTGGTAGTTGGGTAGGCCTGACACAGTCTCAGTGGAATTCCTCCGACAAAGGCCTCTTCAGATAAACTGACGCTTAACCAGGTAAGCGACGGGTAGATCAAAAACCGCCCCGATCCTAAGTGTCCATAATGATTTTTAAAAATTGGCGGGTCTAGTTGACCCCAGGGTCGGGTCAAAGTGGCACCCTACATTTTATAATGTAGCAATCCATCTAAACGCCATGTAGGAATTTTTTACGCATTTTATCTTATTTTGAGTCTTGGTTAAATATGTAGTCAATATGAGACAGATAAATTAAGGTTTCTACAAGTTTCTTTTAATATATGAATTTGTGTTAAAAATCACAACAAAATACAGGGTCCCACTTGCTCCGATTCAAGTGACCCAAGTAGCTCCATTTGCACATTTTTATTTTAAAGAATTTCAGCCATTTTCTGTGCTATAAAATGAACTACGTCGAAACAGGTCGTAGACGATAGGAATAACCTGGTTTAAACACTTCACCTTAGTTTGATACCCTGTTCACATCCTTTGTACTATCACAAGGCTTTGCAAATACACTTATATTTTAAAATCACTTCAACAAAGTTACTTTCAGATCCAGAAAACCTTCATTTGGACTCACCGCCCAAGAAAAAAATGTTTACCACCGACGTTAACTTGGACCAGTAGGATACGGTCACTTTACAAGATCATGTGATCATGTTTTTTTACCTCATAGGTACTTTTGCATAAATTGATGAGGGGCCAACTTACTCCTGTCTTCTCTGTCGGTTTTCTGAGTTTACAGAAAAAAAAAGCACAACACGTCAAGATCGATATCATGCGTTAACATTTTACTTGAAAAGTGCACTGGTATTTATGCCACAGCGGATGTTGAGAACAATAAAATTTAAACGTGATGTTTTAGGCGAACACCCACGTCAAGCATGATTGCTAGTTACATGTTTAACACGCCTGGGTCTGTTATACTCGAAACTACATGTACATGAAATAGATACATCACGAGTGAACGGTGTGTCGTGATTTTCACCTTACTGACGTGGGGTATCTATCTGATTCGTGGTGTATATATATCGTATGAGGAAATAGTTTTAGTGGGACATTCGTTGTCTAAGAACTTCATGTATTCTTAAAAGACAAGTTGTACTCATATATCTAATACAAACCCTTGAAGTAATAAATCTAAAAGTTCTTAATAGTCCCGTTTGTACTTTGATTACACTCGGACCACAGGTTGCGCTAGTAGTCTGTTACAAATTTATTGTATCTCTCACTTATCACTACTTGCATAGGTTTCTGGAAATGTTAGTATGACATTTCAGGTGTGGCTATCCCATGGGTGGTTGATTCTATTTTTCACATCGTTATTTCTGCCATCTATACCCTTAAATTTTAAGGAACATAAAACGTTGGAGATTAATGAACCAGTCATTTTTAATGAATGTGCATAGGTCCTTGAGAAATATAGAGAACACCAGAAGCACATACAGAACTAAACGGACTTCCAGCCATATGCATAACTAATATAGGTCAGGGAATCCAATTAAAAACTAATTCAAGGCCCTAAACACTCAGGAATCCTAACGTTCAACTGTTGTTGTGTCTTAACACAAAACAAAATGTTTATTACCCAAGAGCAGTAATTAACATGTATGTTTTATGTTAAAGAACAACGGGACTTGGACCCTAGGATTCCTGAGAGTATGGGGTCTTAAATGGATTTTAATTAACTTGACTTATATTCAAGAATACGACTGAAGAACATTTTAGTTTCCTCAACCTAAAGATATGGGTATATAGCAGAAAATACAATGTTAAATAATCAACCACCCCTAGGGACGGCAACACCCATATAGTCACCAAAAAAAAAAAAAAAAGAAAAACACGTGCACATCCCTAATGGCAAGTTTAAATATTCCCAACGTCTCATGTTCCTCACTTTAATGGATAGGGGATAACAGTAACAACGATATAAAAATATACTCCCCAAAGGACTGCAAAGTCACACTACTAAAGATCTACGGGTAGATAGCAGAAATTGCGATGTAAAAATTACAATCAACCACCCTATGGGACAACACACCCATTCTTCAAACCGTTTCAGGCACTTACAAAATTACTAAATAGCTGTCAGCAGAGCGGGCACGAAAGTTAATTACCCCCTTACAGCTTGTAGGCGGGACGGACATTTAAGCCGGATTATCTGACAGTAATCTAGGGAAACTAAGGGACAGACGCGTGTCTTAGTCTTTTCAGAGTGGGACGCGACTTAATCAAGACGATTTTAGTGCACAATTGTATACATTGTATACATGTACCTTCTCTGCTTATATTTATTCTATTTATTTATGTTAAATAATTGATTCCTATTTGTTTATTTATCCATCTTATAATCCAGTAACCTACGCGTAAATTATTTTTTCATAGCCTGTTTTAACTGATCCAGTAGTTTTATGTATCGAGCGGATCTAGGGAAGGAGGGCCCAGGGGGTCTGGACCCCATTTTTTCAACGCTGACCATAATCTCCCATAATGTACTGATTTTTCAGAAATCCTGGATCCTCACCTACATATTCCTGTGTATTTTAAAATTGCTCAAAACATACATCCAATACCATTTAAGAAACCCTATTCAGTCTTACAAGTAAATTAAAACGTACAGTTTACCTACGTATGTTGGACAATATTTACAGTTCAAAACATTATATTTCAAAAACGTTATCTCTCATAACGTTGGGCCAACAACAGGTACTTTTTCACCATTTTCCCATGAAGTCGAAGGCAATATCTTATGTGGAGATGAAGTCGCATTTTATCCTATAAAGTCGACTTGTCAGTAAAATCATAGCATTTATCCCATGAAGTGGTACATGTAATATACCATGACGTGCTTTAATTTGAAGGTGGGATTTTAATAGCTGTACGATTTGTTTTAAAAACCAGAACATGAGTTTTTTACATGCTCTCTTTATTCTTGATAGATTTGAAAATTTCACAAAACAAAACAGAATGTAAATTTTTAAAACATTTATCAAAGAAGCTTTAATTTAGGTTTTTCTCTTTCAAAGGTACGCCTTTCTTCTATCCCCGTCCCATGAAGGAAATGCACAAAATTCTCAAATCATCCGTTCACTGGCATTTAAGCCTGAAGGAGGGACTGCCCGGTCAGTATTCTTACTGTCGTCCCCTTCCATAACGTGCTATAAATTCAGAAAAAATAACAGGTAGATCTTCTTTGTTGAAGATACCGTCTCCAGTTGCGTCCAACATGTCGAAGAGAGAGTCTTCAGTTAAGTGGGTGATAACATTGGGGTCAGATGCCAGCGTTTCGCATGTCTTTAGTCCCGCAGCGACGGTCTCTGCGTCCACTCCGACGTCAGCGTAGTTTCCCAAAAAGGCACTTCCAAGTATGTACATATCGAGATTCTACTGAAACAAAAAGCTGTGATATTATACTGATAACCGTGGCACATGTTGCCATAAAAATGTCTTTACCACAGCATTGGTAAAAAAAATAAAGCAAAACTAGCTTATTGTCAACTTTAAATACACATGGGCGTTTTCCTTCTTTAGTTCTTTCTTTTTTTCTTTGTGATAAGACTGTATTTGTGATTGATTGATGACTACATTTGGCTTAAAATGTTGAGTTTAAAACACATACTTCAGTTGCTGAAATGAAAAACAACAACATCAACTAATTCGACATTACAGTCGACCAAAATTCAAAAATATACATAGAAACACGTCAGAATACAGAGTTTTAAATGAATCAAAATGATAAAAGTGACCTTGTGGATTTGATATATTCATTCACACCTACCTGGACCGGGTATGGCTTGCCGGCTAACACGTCAGCCATGTCGAACACACCGTCCTTATTGGCATCAGCTCTCTCAAGTATAACACGCAACTGAGCGTTGTTTCTGCGCCTCTCTCCATTGAAGTCAACCAGGGCTTGAGCTACTGCTGCAGCCTGGACTCCACCGGCAGTCTCAGGGTACTTGTCCACAAACGCTTGCCCAATACCACAAAAGGCCTGAAATAACCATAATATTAAAACCTGATATTCGATACTTACAATTAAAAAAAGACTAGTATCACCAATATCACGACTTTGTTCATTCTGACTACACCAGGTGGCCCAAGTTTCGACTTTTAATAGTTGTGACTAATAGTATAATGTCATTACAACATCAGTTTAAATTTCATGAACATATAAATATTACATCAGATCTAGGGCGCAATATTCAATATTGCGTTCCTGAGCAGATATTCAGTAGCGGCCGAATGTCAAACGGATATTGGGACGAATAACACAAAATATAAAATGGAAATGTAATTTTCCTGGTATCATGTAAAAGTCTCTGTTTTGTTTATAAACAGCTATCACATCAAGGTTGCCTTGTCAATGAATACTCTGTAAAATCAGGGGTCTCTAATACGTTCTACCAGGGCTGCAGTTATTATTCTGTGGGCTTTTTTTGCTGAGGCGACAGTATGTACAGAGATTAGCCATCTAATTAACCAGGCCTCTAATATACA